TCATTTCCATTTTATTTTCGCTTTCTGGCCCACGTGTGATAACGTCCTTAGAGCTGATGCAGACTGGCCGTTTGGGGCGGCAGAGAGCCACCCTGGGGAGTGGCAGATCAGGGCTGCAGCAACCCCATGCCGCAGCCCCGATCCTCCCTTTTGCCACCCAAAAAGAGCGGCAAATTGCCACTCCTTTTAGGGGTGGCAAAAGGCCGCCCTAAGAGCTGGCGCCACGGCTCTTCAGTGCCCTTTTGGCACAGCATGTTTAAATGCTGCACCGGAAGGTCATCCTAACGCCGCACGCCACACGGCATAAGGACAGCATTTGCGTGGGGCTGGGGTGGACGGCGGACGGCTGCCCTGCCCCATCTCTACCCTTAGGCCGGCCCTCTACAACGGCCCTTTGTCCCTAATCCTGATCTAGCAGCTTTCAAGGGCAGCTATTCCATGTAACTCAGCTGTACATTGCATGCCTGGAAGCTCTTACTGGAACTTATTCCTAAATTGGCATGCACAGAACTGAGCTATATTTTGTCTTCATGGTGGAGAAATGGCTAAATGAACAAGAATGACATCTGGCTCCACTCATTTTGCTTTGGCCCTGTCCAACCTCCCTAGACTCACCCAGTGGCATATCTAGGGTTGGTTACACCCAGTGCGATTACTCAGCCCTGGTGGCGCAGTGGTTAAATACCACAAGGTTGCGAGTTCAATACCAGCCAGGGCTGAGGCTCGACTCAGGCCTGCATCCTTCCGAGGTCGCTAAAATGAGTACCCAACTGTTAGGGGGCAATCAGCTCACAGTTGTAAACCACTTAGACATCCCATGCGCGATATGAAGCGGTATATAAATGAAGCTGCTTTGCTTGCTCATGGTGTCAGTTCCCCCACTGGCCTCTTCCCATTTCACACCATGCAGAATCCTTAGTAATGATTTTTTTGCACTACGTTACTCGTAAATCATAATTCCCATATACCACTGAATGTCATGCTAATAGTTGTGACATAAAACAAATAGCAACATTAAAATTATATCTTGAAATTACAGTATCATATGCACAACCTAAATTGTATTTGCATATACATAGTGAAGATTGGGTTGAAATGTGATATTTTTAAGAAAGTTTGAAAGGAATTTAAACATTTAATTTTTTAATTAAAATTTTGAAATTTTAAAAAATTCTGGGGCCTCTCTTTTCTCCTCCCACTGAACTTCACCCTACTCCCACCATCTCTTAAAGCAGTTTAAAGAGATACAGATGAATGCCACAGCCTGTTTCTGCCAAAAGGTAGGTATCTGAGGAGAAATGGTGTCACCTCCCCTTAGGGCAGGGGTAGGCAACCTTTTTGAGCAGGGGGCTGGTCCCCTGAAGTCGTCCCTTT